GAGAAAACTCGATCATTCCCTTTCCTTTATTCAGCACACATAGGCTCAAGAGGAAGAAGAGTTAACAGAAAGGATAGCACAAGGGAATAAAAGGGGAAAGTGAAGACTTGGACCCTGAATCACAGTTAGCTTAATGTAACCTGGTGAACCTGAAAGAGAATCTGTGACACGGCAATGTGTGCTTGGAGGGAGAGGTAGGTTGCATGAACACCGCAGTAAACACTGAATGGTCTGGCTGGAGAGCAGAGAATTTACCCTAAAATGGGCTTAATGGGAATAACTTCACACATACATATGTTTCGGATGAGAGGTGTGGGTGAGGACGCTGGGGGGTGGGGTGGGGTTGGGGCTTCCCTCTCTGGGCTGTACTCCCGGTGGGGAAAACAAAAGGGCGGGAGTGGAGGTATACAGGTATAGAGGAGGCCGACTGGAGAAGGAAAGGGGCGAGGCTTGTGGAGGAAAGTCTAGGGGATCCTGGTAGGCGGAGGCTGGGAAATCGATGGGGAGGCGGGGGATCGCCAGGGGAAGCAGAGACTAGCGAGGGGGAGGACGGGCCCGGAGGGCGGAGGGTGGGGCTGGGGCGGAAGGCAGCCCCGAGAAAGGGAAGGCACGCCGCCGGAGCAGGGGTCCCGGGCCAAAAGGGATGGGGGCGCAGTGAGTGAGAAGAAAGCCGCCTCGCTCCAGCGCAGACGAGTGGGAGGGGTGAGGGGTTGGAGGAGCAGGCGACCAAGGTGCGGCGGGGACCTCGGAGGGGGAGGGGCACCTACCCTGACGTGCGGGGCGGCGGCGGGCAGTCCCGGCAGCGGCTCCTCTCCCGCTGAGGCGGCGGCTGCGGCGGCGGCGGCAGCGAAGGTGATGGCGGCGAGTCCCTGTGGCGGCCGCCTCCACCGAGCCGCATCCCTCCTCCCCGGCCCGCCCTACTTCCCTATCTCCCGCTCCTAAACTTCTTCCCCGGGATAAACAAACCCGCCGCCAGGGGCGGCCGCCTCCGCTGCTCCCGCGCCCGCGCAGCCCCCCCCCCCTTCCCGGCCCCGGGCCCGTCCGGGCTCCGGCTTCCGAGTTGCGACTCCAGCCCCAGCCCCAGCCTGCGAGGGCGCGTGCGCGCGGCGGCGGCGTGGGCTCGCAAGGCTCTTCCTCCCTCCCTCCCGCGCCGGGCACTTCCGGGCCGGCCCGGATCCGTCGCCGGGTTTTGGAAGCCACCGCTGCTCCCTGCGCCAGGCGCCGGGCTCTCAGCAGGGCGAGTCCGCCCACCGGCCGCTGTGGAGAGGATGAGTTACCTCGCCTGGCGGGGATCTCCTTCGACCCAGCCTTAAACTTTCCTTACCTAAAAAGTCCACTGATAACGCCTCTTAAATTGAGAGACGTAGGGTGCGAAAGGAGGCCAACTGTTTCTCCGTACGATTTCCTTGAGGTTGTAGCAGACTAAAAAGCCAATATGCAACTTTTACTGAACCTTGTTGCGAGCCCGTAACTATGTGAAGGGATAGAACAAAAACAGCAGTGTACGTCTCCAGCTGGAAATACAGACAACTCCGGGTAGGCAAATGAAGTGCCACAGTGGAACGGTTTTCGGTTAGAGAAGATGAGCCTCAAAAGGAAGTCTCAGGCCTAGGAAGGGAGGGGGTCCGCCGAGAGGCAGCCGAGGTTGCTTGCAAAGCACTGAACAGGTGGCATCCCATGACTGACGTGGGTAAATTATGCTGTATCTAAGCAAATGTCTGAAGAGATGAGGAGACTGCCTTATGGAGTTTAAAGAAAGGTGAAAACAGAACGTCATTCAGCATTCGTGAGAGAAAACTTGTAGCTGCCAAGAATATTCTCCTTTAAAGAGGTTTGAGGGACCAAAGCAGGCACGAATATCATTGAAGGACCCCCGCCCCCATTCCTTTCACTTTAACTGCGCATCCGTGAACTGTTTACCTCCTTTCCCCCAAAAAAAGAGAGGTGGAAGAAAAACATTATTTTGAGCACTGTAATCAAAGACCTGTACGATCTTTTTAAATCCTCTCAACTTCATTGCAGTTCCATGGTGGAGATTATTCCCACCTTACAGATAAAGCAACTGAGGATCAGAAGTAATAAGTAACTCATTCAAGGGTGAGTGGAGTTTGAATACTGGGAAAGCAGATTTCCCTCACTTCAAATTAATACTACTTTACCTTATTCAACGTATTTAACACCCAAAACGTGTGGGATACAACCAGCATCAAAGATTTTCAGAAAAAAAGGTAAGATCAGCATAACCATAAAATTCAAAATTGACTTAGCCAAAAGTTAAAAAGCAGAAGTGGAAGTGACCGTTATTATGCTAGGGACTGGTGGGGAGAGGAAATATTAGTGAAAAAGTTCACGTCCAAACATAAAGAAAAAAGTTAAAACTAGTTGCTGTATTCTTGTAGGTCTCTGTTAACTTTATGATATGTGACAGTGAAAATTATGTATAATTTTTGCCCAGGCCTTATAGCTCTTTCAACCCCTTAAGATTCTGTCACACCCTCTCTTCCACTGATCACTCGTTGTTAGGCACTAATACATGTAATATACTCAATCAATCAAATTATAGTAAATCCTTGAGGTAGATTTTCATTTGGGAATTAAGAAACGAGTGGGTACTTGGCTTACCCTTGACACTTGACTGGGTTCTAGTTAGGGGTGATTTTACTATAAGGATGTCAAATAGCTCCTCACAGTATTCTCATAGAGTCCCTTCCCTAGGCTTGATCTCTGTGTAGTGTTATGACATACCATTTTTTTTCTTGGTGACTTCAGCCTCTGATAAAGAATAAATATGGCTTGTAACTAATGCTAATAATAAAACTGTGATGGTTTGGCAAAGTAAAAGATGGCTCTACGGTCAATAAGCTTGGATTAAATGTTGTTCTATAGTACCAATTCCCTAAAGAACTGCCTTTCTTGATTTGATTTCGAAGTTATTGGATACCTATTGAAAAACTACACTATTCTAGGCTATAGTTTATTGCCGCCGTAAGTGGTTTTTATACAGGTAAGTAACAGTTTTATCACTAGTATAGAGCATAGTATGCTTCCACCGGTCATTTATCAGGTTTGCATTGCTTGAGGCATTAACCATTAGGATCATCCAATTCCTTAGACAACAGGAAACTTTTGGTACTCATTTTTCTGTTCATTGTCAGTTTTCTATAGAAAACCATCCAGGTTCCTCAGTGGACAACTTAGAAGTTCTACTTATTGTAATTAATAGGTTGGCAGTTAGTAAAGATCAGGAGAATCATTTTCTGAGCTTCATGAGCACAGATCAGAACTTGCCTGTGGATCTTCTTGACCCAACTCTATGGGGCTCATCTGAAGAGCCAACCAAGCATCCCACTTTGATAGTTTAGTGACTGCAGCATTTTATTCCTCTTTTGTAAATTCAGAGATGCTCCCATTTCATGACTGGGTAACCATACAATGGACTGACCACTGCCTTCCATACTACCACCTGTTTTGTACTATCATTTTCCAATTCTAGCTGTTAAAAACTAAAGCATGCAGTGGCAAACAGTTTGCAAATTTATTACTATATTGGGTTTAGAGTCCAGACAGTAGTAACATGCTTTTTAGCAAACACAATATAATTCATGAATCCTAAATGAGGTACTCTCTGTGCTTCCCTGGACATTTTGCTATTGCCCTCACCCTTCCTAAAGTGGTCCACCAAACTCTTCTCTCCTAGTGAGCTGGCTTCCCCATATTTTTCTAACTATTATCCCCTCCTATCTTGAATTTTCTTCAAGGGAACCAAACTCATGCCTTACTTTCATAAACTAACACTTGTGATCAAACATTTAACATAACATGTAGCTTTTGGAATTTATTTTGAAAGAAAAGAACTTGGTTGTTCATTATTTATTACTGTTATAAACTTTAGCTTCTTTATTTGAAAGAAAACACTAAAGCTCTTGTTTAATAACTTGTGAGTTATTTTACATGTAATTTCATTTTCTCTCACCATGTCTCCATTTCTTTGTTTTTTTACCTTGCTTGTGAATTCCTAGTTTTGTAGTACTTTTGCATTATATGATACTCATCTATTAAAGATCTGAAAACTTGGGGTACCTTAGAGGCTCAGTTGGTTAAGCGTCCGACTTCAGCTCAGATCATGATCTCACAGCTCACGAGTTCGAGCCCAGCGTCAGGCTCTGTGCTGACAGCTCAGAGCTGGAGCCTGCTTTAGTTTCTGTGTCTCCCTCTCTCTCTCTCTCTCTCTGCCCCTCCCCATGCTCGCTCTGTCCCTCTCTCTCTCTCAAAAATAAGTAAACATTAAAAAAATTTTTTTTGAGGATCCAAAAACTTTAGAATTCTAAATTAATACTTAAAACCCTTGTGTACTGATGCCTATAGCAAGAAAAGATCAGTAAGTTTGATATACTTATTATTGAAAAATCATTCCCAGAAAACTGAGATAGGACCCACCCAGAATTATGAGAACAGGATCATTTTTGTTTAAGTCCTTCCTTGGCACTTTTTTTTTCATGTCCCCAGCCACATTATGTCAAATATTTCAGGATACTCTCTTGCTTCAAATTAAATACGCATTCATGTATTTAATGCTTTGGTCCTTTGGCTAATCTATGAGGTCTCCTATAAGAGATGATTTTTGCTGATTTTCTTCTATCACCATTTGAAGAATAAGGGTTGAGTTGCAGTTCACTGGTTGGCATTGTTACATTTTATAGCCACTCAATTAAATATTAATTTTAATCAGTTTTGAAACATTCTGAGGCTCTTAAAACATTAGTTATCCCTAGATTCTGGATCACTAATACCCAATGAATGAGAAAGAGCAATACTGTACCTCTACCTAGGCAATAAATGGTCTTGGAAAAACCTTGGTTACCCTATATACAAGTTCTCTATTTACAACTATTTATAAGGAGAAAAACAACAAAAATGATCTCTATGACAGGATTATCCAAAGCTTCTATAGCATCCCTCCAGGCATTCCCTGAGAACTTGCTCTCTTCAAGGTTACTTACAGCTGCTGGAAATCATTTACTGTGCCAGGATCCAGGCGGCTGCTGCTGCCATGATCTAGTAGTCCCTAGTGACCTCTGTCTTCTTCAGCTTGGCTAGCTAAGCTCTTTCTCCTCTGCTGGTGTCCTGGCCCTGCCCCTGCTCTGCTCTCAGGTAACTTGAGAAGTTGTGGTTGATTCTGGACCTTGGAAATAGTCCCAAGGGAAGCCTAGAGCTCTCCACTGTGCTCTCCAGCTAGAGGTCACCAGCCTCTGCAGCAGCCTCAAATGGCTCTAGAAGTACAGCTACTCAGTCTCCTCCTCTTTTATCTCTGCTCAGTCATCACAATGTCTCCAGGTCAGGGTCTTTGGTCCCCTCCCAGAGAGACACACCCTTCTGCCTATCAGGGCAATTTATGGCTGGGGGAGTTTACTTAAACATCTGCCCCTGCACATCCCATTGGATGGTTCCCTGTCTAGCTTTGTCCTTGAAAATTGGGATCACTTCAGTTTACTCCCCTCTGACCGTGACTTAAATAAACAACAGCTCCATGGCCATTTTCTCTGGGGCCCTGCCTCCAGAATAATCTCCAATGACCTCCTGTTTCACTCAAAGCCACCACTCCTCTCAAGGGGTCCTGCTCCCAGTCCCCTGATCTAGTAGTCCCAGAGGTCCCATTGCATGAGCTCCAGGAATGTTCCTAGGATTGCCCAGTAGCCAATCATGCTAGGTGAACCTGGGAGCCTTGGAACCTCTGTGCACCCAGTGTTCCTTGACTCACTGATTTTCACTGCTTCGCTGCTTTAGAAGGACTGAGTTCTCGGCTCAGTCCTCTCTTCCCTTCTGCCACCTACCCCCTTTAGAAACTAAGACCTGCTGTCTAGCTGTTACCAATTCTGCATTCATACCCCTCCATAACATCAAGTGGCCACCTACCTCCAGATGGTTATTTCTGCTAGTCAGAGCCCTCTGCTGCCAGCCTGCCTGCCAGTTTGGAAACCCTGGTTTGGCCATTTCCAAAATTAGAAACGAGACTGTGCCATCTTCAGGGACACTGCTGCACCTCCCAGCACCCAGTCAAACCCAACCTCCGCATCTGTCTCAGACACCCTTCCCCAAGCTTCCTCTTCTCCCCACCCCCACATTTTTGGGCTTCGTGATTTGGGTTTCTGCCTTCCTCTCCTTGCCTGCCCATCCTTACTGAATTTCTAACACATTCTTGACCTTCCCTGCCTGAACTATGCCAGGCTAAAGATGGACCAACTCAAGGGCTACATAATCCCTGGAAATTCTTTTAGAGGCCTTATCCCACATCCTGTCAAACACGAAAATATAACCGTACCCCACATGAAAAATACAATGTCTGGTTATGCAAAATGAAGGAGATTCATATAATTTTCCTCTTGAAATATTTATTAATGTCATTTAGCATTTTTCTGCATATTTTAGAGCCAAGACATTTTCTTTTCCTGCACTCAATCTTATAAAACCTGGAAAAGCTTACAGGCTCTGGGGGCTGTGCCTTTATTTAGTGAGAACCCGAACCTTAAAAGGATTTAAAAAATGGCTCTGGAAGGGAGGGACATAAGCACTTCCACACTTGATTCAGGTTCAAGCCCTCCCCTCTACTTCCTGTCATCACTTTTTTTTTTTAATTTTATTTCAACGTTTTTTATTTATTTTTGGGACAGAGAGAGACAGAGCATGAACGGGGGAGGGGCAGAGAGAGAGGGAGACACAGAATCGGAAACAGGCTCCAGGCTCCGAGCCATCAGCCCAGAGCCCGACTACTTCCTGTCATCACTTAAATCTTTTTCTTTTCCAGTTTTTAATAGCTGGGCTTCTCTGTTTGATCCCCTGTCTCAGTCATTCACGTTTTATTCACTCTGTTCACACAGACACTCCTTTTATTACAAATGCCAGCCGGCCTGCTGGGATTTCACAGCATCACAAGACCCTGGATTTGCTTTCATAGTGCTCCTTCTACCACTGTGGGCCCACCATTACTATCTTAAAGCCCCCGGCCCCCAGGAGACCACAGCTTTGGATTAGGCATTTGTTTGCTTGACCCTGTACCTATGATGATGTTGCACATCGGACTCTCGTAAGTCTGCAGCTGCATCCAGCTCTCTGGTGGCTCCTCCATTCAAAGTGACAGGTCCAGTACTGCATTTTAGATGCTACAGTCTTACCCTGTGTGCTGGGACTGACCAGTGAGGCCCACTTGTATCTGAGGCAGGATAGCTACCAGAAATCATACTTTACATTTTTATATTTAAGTGCCTTGTTCACATTTATCTGCTTTAGGTATCTCCTTCCCTGGAGGCCTTTTATGCCTCAGTTACAAACAGCATTACTGCTATACTTTTCTGGAGGTTTTTGTGATCACCCACTATTGCAGATGGAGAGTATATATAAGAAACCAAATGTCCCCAGTAATTATCCTAGATTATGTCTCTTCTAAATATTAAGCATTACTTAACTGAAATAGCCACTAGAAGTTTGGCTTTTACTTTCTATGATACCTTGTTTTTTTGGTAGTGATTCTACAATTTCAGTATACTTCTTAAAATCAAATTATGCATATTCAGTGCACATAGTGAACCAGTTAAGGAGAGTCTACAAGAATACATTATTGCCTCTTTATTCTACTTTCTCAGTTTTGTTTTTTTCCCAGAAAGAAAATTAGGCTGGCCTTTTAAAAATTGTGTTCTGCTGTAGTCTACGAATTTGAGAGGAAAAGGTGACAGATATTTTCATTTTCATGTTATCAACAGCTCAGCAAGAAATTGCTTCTACTTTGAATATAGAGCCTACTGTGTGCAAAAGAGATGTGACAAAATCCAAGTGTCCTTTCTGAACACCTGTTAGAGCTGGGTTGTTTGTTTCTTTTTTGTTTGTTTGTTTCTATTTTTTATTTCTCTCAGTTGTAATTACTTAGGTCTAGATATTTACACAAAATGTTTTTGTGCTTCATCTGTCAAATTCCTTTTCTGAGTTTGAATTTTAGTGTACTTATTTGTTTGGTCCAGGGCAAATCTAAGATGTTTTTCTTACCTTGAAGGAAAAGGTGATTTAGTACTGGAATGTTTACTTGATGTCTTGATCTAATTTGTGGTATCCTCGCATTGGCAAAATGCCCACAGGCCAATGTGATGGTTCTGAGCTTGTTTCCTTCAGATCCTTCCCTTGCTTTTCTCTGCTCCAAATCTTAGTCAGTTCCAGGTTGTTTCCGAAGCCCCTGTGTCAGCTGACTACCTGTTGGGTTAAACCAGGAACCTACTATCAGGAACCTCGAGGGTGGGAGGAAGGAAGAAACCAGTGTATTTCTTCCCTTCTCTTTCTGCCATAGGGATTGTTCCCTGCAACACCTAAGTATCCTCCCACATCCCATCTCCTGCTGGATAAGTCTACCATGGAATTAGCCTTGGGCCCTGGCAATACCTTTTCCTCTCTCTTGTCTGTTTAAAAGTGCTATGGCTTCCTTTGGTTGCTAATCCCTGGATTCTCAGTTTTTCCATCACCTATACAATAAGATTCCTTGTATCAGATTCTCTGTTTGAAGTAATGAATGTGGTTTCTTTTTTTCTGGTTGGACTCAGCACATTTATCCATTTTATGTTTTCATAAGAATCTTTTCCCGTTTGTTGGACAAAGAATGATTTTCAGAGAGAAGTAGTAGTCATTTTAAACTTATGGATCTGTCTGTACTTATCCACATGTCTTGAGTAATGTCTTTGTTCTTTCTCCTTATCTCCCATACTTGCTTCCCACTTCCCATAATACCCAACCTATTCCCTTTTCTCTGCCACTTTCCATCCTTAGAGCATATGACATCTATCTTCTGGAGTCATATCACCATGGATGCACAATGATTTGGTTTTTTAATGTTTAAATTCCTTTTTATATAATGTTCTTAACAAGAATGCCACAGCTGTAGGATACCAAAAAAGGGCACTGGATTTTTCATCCAGAATCTGAATCTGCGTGACCTTGCTCGAGTTCCTAAGCCTCTTGTACAATAGGGCCCTTGGTCGTAAAACAGGAAAAATATAACTTCATCAGATCTAAGAGCAAATTAGATTAAAACATATGAAAGGATTTTGTAAAGGATAAAATGCTAAGCAACTGCAAGAGGTTATTTAAAAACAGTAAATAAGACTAGTTATTTTTTCTTAAAACAAATGTAATTTTAAAAGTCAGCAGCAAAGGTATTTCCCAATTGGAATTTATACAGAGTTTAGCGGCATCACATCTAACACATCACTTCTTAATCTTAGTTCTGTTGACATTTGAGACTAGATAATTCTTTATTCTAGGGGGCCATTCTGTACAAGGTAAACTGTTTAGTGGAATCCTTCTGTCTATCTTCTAGATGCCAGTTAGCACCCTTGCCTTCAGTTTTGACAGCCAGAACATCTGTAAACATTGCCAAGTGTCCCCTGGGAGACAAGGTTGAGCAAAAGCACTCCAAATTGAGAACCACTGATGTAACCAAACCTACTTGGAAAAATGTCACCTTGTTTTAAATTTAAGTTGTTAAAAAAATTAATAAAGGAGTTTGGCTTTCTAGAGAAGATTATGGGGAAGGACTTTTTAAAAATGTAGCCATGAGGGGCACCTGGGTGGCTGAATCTGTTAAGCATCCAACTCCAGCTCAGGTCATGATCTCGGGGTTCACAAGTTCAAGTCCGACATCAGGCTCTGTGTTGACAGCTTAGAGCCTGGAGCCTGTTTCAGATTCTGTGTCTCCCTCTCTCTCTTCTCCTTCCCTGCTCACGTTCTGTCTCTCTCTCTCTCTCTCTCTCTCTCTCTCTCTCTTAAAAATAAATAAAACATTAAAGAAAAAATTTTAAAATGTAGCCACAAAGGATAATCTGTCTTAAGAGATCAATAAACCTTGCAGTGAAAGTCAGTTATTGTCACAGCAGTGATGTGTCTCACTAAGTATTTATGTTCGAGAGATTAATCTTCCTGCTTAGTATTGAGGTTGGGCTACCTAACCAAGATGGGCTTTCTTCATACAATTAATTCCTTTTGTTATTTATATTAGGCATTAAAAAAACACACTAATACTTTATATCTGACTATTGTATGTCGGTATCTTTTGATATCCTTTCAGGCATCATTGAATACTAGTAGGAACATATATTTCAGTCATAATATGACTCAGATTTCTGGGTCTGTACTTGTGTAGACTACCTTTAGTAGCAGCAAGAGTTAGAATTTTATGAGCATCATGACGAGGCCATAATCAGTAGAATCCTTCATATTATTATAATTCATAATATGATACTCTTAGCTGCCATTGACTTACCATTGGAGACCAAACCATATAACACACAGTGCTCATCCCAAAAGATGTCCTCTTCAACACCCATCACCCACCCTCCCCGCCCTCCCACCCCCCATCAGCCCTCAGTTTGTTCTCAGTTTTTAAGAGTCTCTGTCAGCAGGTTTCTAAGACCAGTTTCTCATTTCCAACTGTGTCAGTTAGCTTTCTTCCTAGCTTAAGAAAATATTGATCAAACCAGATTGTAGAACAGGAGCAGCAGGTTGTAGTAATAGGGCTACTTTTGCTGAGAAGACAGAAGAGATGTGCTGTGCTTGACATGAGTATATTGCTAAGCTTTGTGG